TATATATATATATATATATATATATATATATATATACGTGTGCGTGCTGTAAACTTCATTTCGATTCCCAATTAGTAATATCTCCTTTTTTATCCCCCTTATCTTCCTATTAGATATCAAAGCTTCATTCCCTAAATCTTCATTAGAATTCTGTCTAGAGACGTGTCTTTTTTTATCTCTTGAAGAACTTAGAGTTAAGAAATGAGGTAGACAGACACAGACGCATTTACTATTTACATTTGCAACAAGGGTATAGTAAGAAACGCAACTTTTGACAAAGGGAAGACAAAAAATAGATAACAGGCGAAGTAACAATAATCTCTTACGATAAGAAATAATATCATTCTAACACCTGCTTTTAAGTGTTCCTTAAAGACAGATAGAAACGGCAATTCATGTCTGCAGTTAAAATCCTACAAACTATTCAAGATACGAATCAGACATGCTCGTTTTTTACGTGGTCGTTTCAACCTTATGTTTTCTTTCGGAATGTTACCAACTGCGAAATGATTCTCCAACCTGCATAAAAATGCGTGAACATGTAGTGGAATGTTCTGGAATAGATAATCCTGATACTCTGAGAAAAACTTATCTCAAATTATTAAAAAGTGAATATTCTTCTAAAACTGGGAAGGTCAATAAGTTCGATATATCAAAGTCTTACTTTTCGTACATTCCTCATGATTTATTGAAAGGCCATGACAATTTATACATCATAGAGATAAGAGACACTACTTTAATATCTCTGAGTGATACAGACACTGCTTTCGTTGGGGCAGAAAAAGAAGTCTGGAAGTTTGAAATGCGGCATTGTGTCTTGTTTGGGGATTTCGATTGGTACCAACTACGAAACATGACACAGCTAGAAGAAATTGAGCTGACAGATATTGGTTTAAAATACATTGATATTGATGCGAATTTCCCTCATTCGTTCAATTTAAAGGTGTTAGCTTTAAATTACAACAGTATTTCATACATAAGTGATCAAGGATTTTCCAAATTTGTTAATCTTGAAAATTTAGATTTAATGGACAGCAATATATCGAAGTTGAAGAGAAGCATGTTTCCGAACTTACTCGTAAGGATTGATTTGTCGTAAGTCCTTTTTGTATGCTCACACATGTAAATAAATTTATGCAATACATAAATTAGTCTAATAGTCATTATACATTACAGTAAGTTACTTATATATCTTATAATGAAATGTATTTTCATCTTCATCATTTTTTACGGATCATAATAGTACTATAAAAATAGGGTTTAGAACGTTCACTTCATAAAATTTTTAACTTGCAGCAAACTGTATGCTCATCTTAGTAAGTGGTAAAAAGTTTCCTGATTGTGCATGTCAGCTCTTGATAAAGTTGAAAAAACGATGGGAGAAAAATGCATAATACTTTTTATCTAAATGAAGCATTGTATTTTATGTGGGTTTTGGACTGAATCGAATGAAATCGTCCCCGAGATGATCGAGTTAATTTAAAAGTTACAAACGTTTTATATACAGAAAGTACAATTTTGTACCTGTATTAATTTACTCATATGACATTTCTCTCTAAGGGAGGTATTATTGTTTATATATTATTGTAAGCTAAATATATTGGCTGAGTTAAAACACGAAATTGAAGACAATTGAATGCGACAAAATCCAATTCTATGGAGTCAATAATTTAGAAGTTATAAGGGTTTGTTTATTCAAAATAAGTCCAAAAACAGTTTCTTTAAAATTCAAATTCATCAATTTTATTTTTTGAACGGTCTGTTCTACTGACTAAAGTGATTGGTATCTTTCTGTTCACTTTTACATAAATTGTCTGCATGAATTATTTGCAAGATGTGCAAATAGGAACAAGTATGAAATTGTATTTTTCTACAGAAGCATTTTCACCTTCTAAATTTCATGTCTTTGTTGATATTCGATTCAGCATTAAAATTGCCTGAAAATGAAATTTTCATAATCCGATTTGCGTAAATTGTACTTTTTAAAATGTAAATTACCTATTACCGCGTGTTTGTTCTCATTAGATTCAGTGTTAAAAATCATATTAAGCAATCTTTTATGCGTCTAGATATCTATGTCACGTGTGTATGTACAAATACGAAATTGTACGTTTTACACATAAAACTTTAGGCTGTTTTTCAAAGGATCTGTAGTAGTATGAAATAAAACTTTTTAATGAATAATAAGTTATTTTCATCATTGATGTGAGTTTGTAAAAGTTCTCATGACTGTTATTTTATGTTTATCATATCTTTAGCCAGCGCACTCTATGTTTATTCTGAAAATGGCACAAAACGTCAGTATGTGGGCAAGCCAGAGTTTAGAGAAAAGAAAGCGTGTTTGTGGTCTTACATTTTAATATTCAAAAATTGACTACATTGCTGCATTATATAGGCTCATAAAAATCTTTAGAAAATGGGAATAAAGCATTGCTTTTGATCATTTTATTCTAGGTGGGAAAATATTACCGAATGGGTGATTTTTTTAAAAAAAAGTTTAATTACTTTTAGGATATTTTAGTTATTTCCCGTTCTAAAGCCCGGATAATTCCTTTCAGCAAGAAGACATATATAATTTAAGATTATAGCTTTGCATCAAGTATAAAGCATTTAAATTAGGCTTTTTTATTTTCCGTCGAGAAAGAGCTATAAAAAACGTTTTTAACCATTTGTTCAATCCTTTCGGGATTAGGACATGTTTTTCTGGAAAACTGCATCTGAAGCCCTGGCAGCTTAGCACTGGCACTTTTTGGTCCCAGTTTTTCTCCTATCTTGCCTCCCGACAAATAATGATACTCTACATTGTACAACTCTTAATCACTTACCATTAAGTGTGTGCTTAACAGTTCTTCGTATATGTACTAGAATATTTATATTTTAATAGTCGTGGTTCGGCAATTTTTGAGCTATCTTTACAATACTCCAATAGGTTACATGCAATAAGTATTCGAAGACAAAAATGCACGTAATTTTTCTAATACTTTTTATTGTCGTTTTCTGGTTTAGAGATTCGATTTAAGCCTTATCTTGATCATTTTTTCCCCAGTGAAATGAAAGGATAAGTTAGATAATTATTTAATTGTTTTATTTCATCACCTTTTAGATATAATTTAAAGTTCTTTTAACCCGAAAAATTATAAATAAAATATAAAAATGATGACGAAGATGTCAGAGCCAGCCAAACATTGATGGATGGGAGTAGTTTCATACTGTATAATCCGAGCATTGATGGATGAGCCCATACTGTATAATCTTTAACAGATGGGACCAAAAAATCAGCGATTATGTATGAGGGTAGTTATGGTTAGAATAAAGAAAATATTTAAAAAAGGCATTTTTTCACAATATGGTGGCCATTTGAAAAAAAATACAATAAAATTGATTTTTTGGCCTTAAAACATGGGTAAAAAAAAAAAAAAATCAAAATTTTGGAAAATGCAACGATAGCCATTTCGTTTATTGAAACTATAGCTACATAAATTCTTTACTAATTTCCAAAGCGACCGAAATTGATCGAGTGGTTTTTCTGCAATCTAAATGCCAAAATAATAATAATAATGATTTTGCGGGGGTGATTTTTTTTACCCATTAGCAAAATGGGTGTCGTTTTTGTTATTGTGGCGTACGCAGCTTATTTGGACGTCATCACACTATTCAACCTGTGCACAAGAGTAATAATAAACAGTGCGCATGCGTCGTCATTGCATGCGTTGCTATGGTGAACGCTACTGTCTGATAATTTTGAAGAATTATTTTTTTCATTTTTAATTTTGTTTTGCATAAAGTTGGTGAGTTTATTTTTGAGATATGGGACCAGAGAGATTCCATAAATACTTCTTGTGTTGTGAATGAAAGAGAATTTTTTGAACGATATTTTTGTATTGTTTTATAATTAAGAATCAGAAATTCTAACCTACAGTTCAAACTGGATCGTTTTCAATACTAATTCAGGTAAATATCACAATTAAAGAGGGTCCCAAACTGATTGACGCTGTCCCAAAAGTTAGAGAAAAAAAAAGATGCCAAGGCCTAAACATACCGAGGCTGAAAAAGCTAAAGCTAAGGTCTTGGTAAGGCTAACGCAGACGGGAAAATGTCAATGGGTAACCTGTGATAGCCTTTCGGCAATCCCAATTTCTTTTTTTTAAAGAGTTTTAAATCATTTATATTTGGTTTTTTTCGGGACTTAGCTTCTATCTGCGATTCCTGGATCATAAAGCACGCCTTCCCCGATCGCAAATATTTCGTTGGCAGAAACAACTTCCTTCAGTGCTGCAGATCAAACTTCTTTGCAGAAGAAAGATGCGTGATGCTCTTAGTGTACAAGGTGATCCGTGTTGCTCCTTTAGTAAAACTCAAACTGTTGCCAATTGAAGTACCCAGGATATCCAACATGCTGGCAATCCCCATGAAATCGTCGTTGAATATCATCGTGGCTGAATAATTGGCAATTTCTATCACATCTTAACTGGAATAGGTGTGTTTTAGAGAAAACGCCAAAATAAGCTAATTTAGCGATTCGTTATTGTTTTGAATGTTAGCGAAACACATCTTTCCAATAAACTGTCATTTGATAGGTCTTGGTATTGGGGTTCGTTGAGAGTAAATTAGACTGAAAGTATCACATGGAACAAACTGAAACTTACTTTATTTACATCAAAATATATACCAAGAAAGAAGAAGTTGCCAGAACAGGAAACTCAAAAACTACCTAAATAATCTCGAACTCAACACTTGGTAATTAGCCTCCTGCATCCTCGACGACATGGAATGGTTGGTTCAATGATCGCGTTTTTCAACTATATCAAATGGTTTCCAGACAGAACAGTTCCGCTCACATATGCTACATATTCAAAATATGCCATAAAAAGCATTTTTTGAATTTTTTAGACCAGACTCTAGACATTTTACTGTTGCGAGAAGGCACTTTGACCCATCGGACAAGACGAAAGTGTAAGAAAAATGTTCCGATGAATTCCAGTGGTTATCCTTGTCTAGTTTCAATCTTCTCTGTTTCTTACTAACGGAGAGAAATTTAATGCAGTTAACAATAAAAGTGGACTGTATAACAGTATATAAACATAGCAATATTGCGACTAATTTTTAAAACTAAATATTGTTTTTATATTTCAGTAGCAACAAAATTTCCTCTCTCCCTTCTGATCTTTTCACAAACATGCCAAATCTGATAGTTCTTAATTTGGA